AGGTTGAAAACAACTTATTCAATTCTTTTGTCTATTGTATTACTTGGAGGTCGTTGACGCAATGATGTACCATCACTCTGTTGACGCCATTTTGCATTCGCAAGCCATGATCCAGCCACTTTTTCTGCTAATGTCAAACTTTCTCCTTCAAAACTTTGCAATAGAGCACCTAAAATTAAAATGTTGGTATAATAGTTACAGTGTCTGCAATACATAAAAGATTTTTAGTTTTATATTTTAAACATATTACTTTGAAACTAACCTGTGCACTGTAATAACATTGTGCACTATATATACGTTAGTCTCAGATTAATCTGTTTAACATATCAAATTAAAGTTATTATATTTTAAAGGTTAAACCTCCACAGCTACATCTAATTAAAAGAAAAAATAAAATATATAAAGAAAGAAACATTAAACTCATTTCCTTATACTAACAATATATGTATATCTTATGTTAAACAACTCAATGACAATATATGATGCAAATCAACTAAAATGTAATACTTAAAGAGATACAGAATTAAACAAATAGGAATAATAAGATTACAATTATAAAAAATGTCTCTTATATGCTTTAGACTTAAAAATATAAACAAAGTGAGAGAACAAGTGTCCATAGGCAAATGGCCCCATTTTTTCGCATTCGATTGTGATTACAAAGTAGGTACCAAACGAAAGGTCTCGTCGAGCTGATTAGAGATATGTCAGTCTCAGAGTGTATCTATTAACCGTTCCAGAGATATCGGGCTCCAAAAATTCCTGTATTCTTGTACAAACTACGTACATCACTATATATCCAATTGCCAAATCGGGCCTATCTTCGTTGTTTTTGGAGCCTGATATCTCTGAAACGGTAAATAGATACACTCTGAGAATGACATAACTGTAATCAGCTTGACAAGACCTTTCGTTTGGTACCTACTTTACCAAAATGGAATGCGAAAAAAAATGGGACCAATCTTGTTCTTACTCTTTGCATAAAAACATACCTTGTATAAGATCCCAAATTTTTAGTGCCTCAAATTTATTTTTGTTTCCTCGGTCTTGGAAACTAAAGTTTTGAGCAAAAGTATTTGTTAAAATTTTTGCCAAAATCCTTCTCACAGAATTCTCAAGACTACCAGGGTCAATGTACTTGGAAAAATATATAGACTGAAAGAAAAACGAAAAACAGATAAATGTTAAATTTTAGTTTACACTTAATTAAGTTTAATTATGGCAAGAAAACTAAGGATTACCTTTGGATACAAAATAATGTAATCGGACCAGATTGGAGACATGAGTTTGCTTGATCGCTTGACTTGAAGCAAAAGAGACCGCGGTCCGATTCGCGCTATAGCGCTGCTGGCATCTTCTTTTTCTTTTTCTTCTAACTGTACGATAATGCTGGCTAATCTTTCCTTGTAGCGATCCTGCAACATAGAGAAAATTCGATATGAAAATATTGCAATCTTACATACTCAAACCTCTTCATCAGTATATAATTTAAGTAAATCTCTTTGTCTGACAATACTGTCACATAAAGAGAATTTACTTTATTACTTTTTTATTACTTCGTGCAAAACT